GAGAAGATAGACTCTTCAATAAATGGCGCTAGAAAAACTGTCCACATGCAAAAGAATGAAATTGAACCTCTATCTTCACCACTCACAAAAAGATAATTAGAAATAGGTTAAAAATGTACATATCAGACCCCAAACTCTAAAACTCTAAAAGAAATAGGGAGAAAAACCCTCAGCAAGACCCTTGGTCTTGAGAATTTTTTTTTCAGCTATAACACCAAAAACAAAAAAAAAAGCAAAAATAAATAAATGGGAATAAATAAAATTAAAATGCTTCTGCACAGCAAAGGAAACAGCCAACAAAATCAAAAGGCAGCCTATGAAATGGGAGAAAATATTTGCAGAACTTGTATCTCATAGGGGCTAATATCCAAAGTATATAGGAGACAACTCCATAGCTAAAAACTAAATAGTCTAATTTTTAAATGGGCAAAAGATAAAAACATACGTTTTTCCAAAGAAGACATGCAGTTGGTCAACAGGTACATGAAAAGGGGCTCAACATCACAAATTATCAGGAAAATGCAAATCAAAATCACAAAATTTCGAATGTCTTGGGAGCAAGGGCTGGGACTTGATTGGGAAGGGACGTAGCAAACTTTATGGAGTGTGGGAAATGTTCTTTACTTTGATCAGAGTATAAATTAAGATTTTCATTTGTAAAAGCTCGTGAAACTATACATTTAAGTGTATATAAATTTTACTTCAAAATGTCATAAAGAACTCTAGATAAATATTGGTCTTTGGTTGGTGATTTACATGCTGAAGTTTTGGGGGGGATGGTAGAGATAGCAGCAACATCCTTTGAAATGCGTCAACAAAGTAAGACACATAGGTCAATGGATGAATAGATATGTGATAAAGCAAGTACAGATGGTCTGTGGTGTATGATGTTCAACTTGATTTTTTGACTTTACAATAGTTTTAAAATGACGTTCATTCAGTAGGTACAGTTCTTTGAATATTGAATTTCACTCTTTTCCCAGGATAGCTGTGTGTGGTATGGTGCTGTCTTGTGATGTTGGATAGCAGCAGCAAGCTGCAGCTTCCAGTCATCCATGCAGTCATGAGGTTGAACAACTGATACTCTTCAGTTCATTGTGTTGCTGATGTTTTTGTCCAACCTTAGGCTAATGTGATTTTCCTGAGCATGTAAGATCTGAGCATGTTTAAGGTAGGCTAGGATAAGCCATAATGTTGACTAGGTCAGGTGTATTAAATGTACTTTCAACTTGTGATATGTTTTCCACTTAACATGAGTTTTTTTGAACTTGGATTTTAAAAGTTAGTTATAGTATGTATCAGTGGTGGGTAAATGGGTATACCTTCCACATTTCTTTCTACTTTTCTGCATATGTGAAGGATTTCATAATAAAATAATCAGGGGACAGTGCATTTGTCTGTATTCTGATGAATTCTGACTTGATTATAGAAAGTATAAAATCAGCATTTTTTTCCATTCTCTCCCTTGAAATCATGCAACAAATGAAGAGAATGAAAAACAAAATCAGGCTCGGCTCCTATAGCTCAACCGGCTAAGGCGCCAGCCATGTACACCTAATGTGGCGGGTTCGAATCCCCAGCCCGGACTCGCCAAACAACAATGACGGCTGCAACCAAAAA